GGCAGACTCTGTCTCAGAAATAAAGAACCCTCTTCTTCCTGGGCAGAGAGTTTCTCTGTGCTGGATGTCGCCCAGCAGCCCGGCCCCAAGGTGATCTCTTTGGATGGGTGAGGGGAGGAAGGGTCTCCTCCAGCTGGAAACATTGAATCAGGACTATTGCTTCCTAAGAGCACGTGGCCCAGAACTGGGCTAAAAATAGTACAATTTTTAAAAATTACACTAAGCTTTGATTTCAGAGTGTGTTGGTCTCCTGGGACTGCTGTAACTGAGTGCCACAAACTGGGTGGCTTAAGACAACTCACATTTATTCACTCATAGTTCTAACAGAACCACGTATCTCTGCCTTTCAATGGTAGATTCAAAACACACAATGATGGTGCTGTGATTGCAAAAATTAGCCAAGTGTGGTGGCATGCACCTATAGTCCCAGCTACTTGGGAGGCTGAGGTGGGAGGATCACTTGAGCCCAGGAGGTTGAGGCTGCAGTGAGCTATGATCATGCTACTGCACCCCAGCCTGGGCAACAGAGTGAAAGAGATCCTGTCTCAAAAAAAACAAACCAAACCAAACAAATTTGAAAGCCACTGTCCTATGTGGAAGAATTTGGAAGTCAGTGATAACACAGGGAGGTAGTAATTATTTTCCAGGTTTCAGACGTTCTCGTGGGTCCCGAGAGGAGAGATGCTGTGGTGGTGTGAGGTCCAGGAGGACTCTGGGCTGGGTTGAATTGGGGTTGTACCACTTTCCTCAGGAGGTCATTGTGAGGACGACTCCATTGCCTGGGCCTCCACTTTTTCATCTGTAAAATGGGCTAAATATCTACCTTGATGGGGAGGAGGAGGATGAAATATCTCCTCACATTTATTGAATGCTGCCTATTCTAGGATTTGTTCTGAGTCTTTTATGTGTATTACATCAGTCTTTCTTCGCAATACCCCTCTGGTTAAGTGCTAGTACCATTAGATTTATCAGTACAGGTAAGGACACTAAGGCACGTAGAGGTGAAGTCGCCTGCCCAAGTGAGTTGATGTCAGTGAAAATCTGTATCATGCCAAATACTGTGTCTGGCACATAGCAAGCACAGAGCGAATTTTAAGTTTCTTACCCTTAATTTTGTTTCAATCACTTTAAAGAATCCTCAGATATAGGCAGACGAACAAGCTGGTGGAAGATGTGTGAGAAGCACGCTTCAAACTGCCAGGAAGCCGGCTTCCACGGAGTCCCAAAGTGTGAAATTAGCTCCTCTTCTGGGAGGGTCCCTGGAAACAGTGGCTGCTCCCTGCAGGAGGCAGAGTCCCTGCAAGCCCTACTCTTCAGCATCAGAGGAACTGCAAAGGGAGTGAAAGAAAGGGGACCCTCCCTTCCAGCCCTTAGGGGAAGAGTCGTCGATGGCTCCAGGGAGGAAAGAGAATGATGGGTCTGGCTCACAGTAAACTACCTTATTGCTGGTTTTTAAAGATGAGAGGCGCAGGAACCCCCAGACCTACTCCACACCCTGCAATACAGATCAGCTTCGAAGGGTCTCCACCTCCCCTGCCCACGATGGCCAGCCCCACTCCTCCAGGAGAGTCTGTGGCCCCCACTCTCTGGAGGCCAAGGGAGAACACAGCTGCATCTCCCTGGGGGAGATCAGACAAGTAATTAGACCAAACTGCAAGAGGCAGGTGCGTCATTGCTTCTCAGAAATGATAAACAGAGCACAAAGAGAGAATTGCATCACTTCTTCCCGGGGCGCTGGGACATTTGCTCTCAGAGTCCAAGCTGGGCCACATTTAAATCAGAGGGGGGCTATGGACTGATTCTCTGCCGAGTGCAGAAATGTTTCATCAGCAATTAGTGTGAGCACTCTGAAAGGAAGCTAAATGTTCTCCTTGCCTTGTTCCCACGTTTGCTCGTTCCAAGTCGTGTCTTTATACTATCTTAACTATATAATGTCATTGATGCCATATTTTAAAATAGTTGTCTTTTTATAGAATCCATGACTTGGTTTGACTTCGTTAACAAAACTTAGTAATTTACCTTGCACAGAGCCTGCCCATACTGGACATGAAATTAGTATTTGCAGAATAAAAAGATGTTGATGACAATAATAATATACATAATTACATAATAATTTTAAAGTAAAAGCTAACCTGCTGGGACCGTCTCTTCTGCCTCCTGTCTGAAGAGGGCTGCCTCCGCAGTGAGCCTGGACCTGGACTACTGCACCCATGACCTTGCGGACATCAGGCCAGGAGCAGGTGGAGGCGGTTGGCGGAGGAAGCAGTAGAGGAGGAGAGGCCAGGAGCTCCCTGAGCCAGTGCTCCCAAGGAAGGAAGTCCATCAGAAAATCGCAGAGGGCCTGGGACCCAGGGTCCCCCATCTCTCTCCCCACCCACCCCAGCAGAGATTTGTTCCCGCCGAGCACCTGTGTTTTTGTTTGTTCGTTTGTTTGTTTTTATTATACTTTAAGTTCTAGGGTGTATGTGCACAAGGTGCAGGTTTGTTACATACGCTATAAGGCACCTGTGTTTTAAAGTGTCCAAGTGGTCTCCAGCCGCCCGCTCCAGCACTCGCAGGTTTGGAGTCCAGGGTCCCCAGGCTGTGGGATGGCAGTGAGCACACTGGCCTCCTGAAGTAGTGGGCAGGGCAGAGGATCCCAGGCCAGACTGCTCAGAGCGCTGTCTGCCAGCTAGGGGTGACATTTCTGTCCTGGCTGTGACTGTCCCCTCAGCTTCCGCCTTATTCACCCCTGATGGGAGGCCGAGGTGGAGTCGGGAGAGCTCTACCCGTGACTCTGCTCCAAGAGGCTCCGCCTCTGTGTGCACCCAGAAGGCCCACGGGGGAGATGTTGTAGCCTGCAAAGCGCTACTGCCTACACGACTGCACAGCCAGCTCCACAGGCTCCTCGGAAACGAGAGTGGGAGCAAAGATGAGGGCTACACGGCCAGGTGAACACCTGGGAGCAGTCTGTGTCCATCTCCAAGTTCTATTCGTTTGCTAAGGCTGCCTAAGAAAGTGCCACATACTGGGACGCTTATAGCACACATGTGACTTTCTCACCGTCCTGGAGACTGGATGTCCAAGGTGCGTCAGGCTGGTTTCTCTGGAGGCCCCTCTCCCTGGCTGCAGGTGGCCATCTTCCTGCTGTGCCCACCCGTGGCCTTTCCTCTGTGCACCAGCATGCCTGCGGTCTCTTCCTCTCCATATAAAGACCCCAGTCCTTGTGGATTAGGGCCCACCCGAATAGCCTCGTTTAACCCCCATTCCCTCCTTAAAGGTCCTGTCTCCAAATACCATCACACTGGGGGTTAGGGCTCCAGCAATGAATTTGGGGGGACACCATTCAGTGCACAGCAAGAGGAAAATCACTTTCACAGTCACACTTCCAAGCACTTTTGAGCTGTGTGTGTTGCCTTACATGCCCAGCACCATGCACGAAGTATTGTCGCAGCTGTTTTCTTTAGGATGTGTGGGAAGAGCACATCTGTCACCAGTTCCAGCCCCCAGTGACCAAGAACACTGCCCTTTGGCTCTGCCTCTGCCTCACACTGGACTGGGGCTAGAGCTCATGCCTGCAGGTGCCAGACCTGAGGGCCGCGGGCTCACTGCCATGCCCAGGGCACGGGCCATCCATCCCATATTCCACCCAGGTACACAGCAACGTGAGTACCCAGGAGGGCTGCAACCCCTGGCTGCCACCAAGACCCCCTCTCAGCCTGGCCCCCTCCATTCTTTCATTTGAGTAATGCAGGTTCTCTAGGCGCTATACACAGTGCTGTGCAAACTCAGCTTCCAGCATCGTGCAAACAGACCCTTGTGAAGGGAGTCCTAAGACTACCTTTGGATTTGGCGACTCGCTAGTAGGACTCACAGCACTAAGAAAGGCTATTAGACTTGTGCTTACACTTTGAAAATACAGATTTAAATTAGTAAAGGAAAAAGGAACATGAAGCAGAGTCCAGGAGAAACTAGCACAAGCTTCTGGTGTCCTTGCCCTGTGGGGCTGAACGGATAGTGCTTATTTTCCCCAGCAACGATGTGTCACCGCACACTTGAGGTGTTAGCCACCATGAAAGCTTACCTATGTGTTGGTGTTCAGGGTTTTCATTGGAGTCAGTCACATAGGCATGCAGTGCCCATGTGACTGACCTCGGCTACTCGGACCCCAGCCCAACAGAGGTGAATTAATAGAGCATGGCCCAGAGCCTCAGGCACCTGTGAACAGGCTTTCATCATAAATCACGCTGTTGGCATAAACTAAGGATGTGGCCCAAGGCCTCAGACACATGAAGCCACCCTTTTCAGGAGGGATACTCCAAGGACTCAGTGGTCATCTCTTAGGAGCTGATCAAGGCTGTGTGCAGGGTTTGGTCAACTCAGATCTGCTGAGTCACCCTTGACATCACAGCTGACATCCCTAAGTCCCTTTGGCTGGAACATGTGGGAGCTGCTACTGTCAGTGTCAGAGGCTTTCAATTTGATTCATGTTTGACAGTATGATTTGGGAGAAATGATAGATTTTATCCTAATTTTCATTTATTTCATTATCAGTGAAGCAGAACAACTCTCTACATGTTTGATTGCCATTTGAATTTCTTGTGTACTTTGTCTAGTCATTCGTTCATACATATATTGAGTTATTTACATGTTTATAATTTATAGGAGCCCCTATGAACTGTGCATATAAACTCTTTGTCATATGTGGCAAATATACTTCTACTATTACTTTTAACTTTATTCTTTTTTGTGAGCAATACAGAAATGCATATTTTTAATGTAGTCAGCTGGTCAAACTTTTCTTTCATGATTTCCGATCTTCGTGTTAGTATAACAAAGGTTTTCTGCTCCCCAAACTATACGCTCTCCAATATATCTTCTCATGCTTTAGTTTTAAACACGTGAATATTTGACCTTTTGGAATATTTTATTATAATATATTATATTTATTATGTTATATTATATTATATTATATATTTCCTAGGGCTGTTATAACAAATTACCACAAACCGAATGACTTAAAACATCAGAAATTTATTCTTTCACGGTTCTGTTTGCAAGGAGGCAGTAGGGCTGTGCTTTCTTGGACGGCTCCAGGGGAGCATCTATCTGTTCCATGACTTTCTCTTCGCTTTGACGTCACCAGCAATCTTTGGCTTATAGATGAATCACTTGAGCCTTGACCCCTCTGTCTTCACACGGCATTCTCTTTGTGTGTTTGTGTCTCTTTTCCTCTTCTTATGAAGATGTCAGTCATATTGGATCAGGGACCTCTTAATGACCTCATCTTAACTTGATTACAACTGTAGAGACCCTATTCCCAAAACGCCACATTCACTGGTACCAGGGGCTAGAACTTCAACTTATCTTTTAGGAGGACACAATTCAATCCATAACATATATGGTGTAATAAAACTTCATTTGTTTTCCCAAATGCTTACCTAATTGTGGTAATGACCCTTTATCCATGGGTTTATTTCAAGACATTATTCTGCTCCAGTAATGTATTGGTCAGTTCTGCTGAGGTCACATACTGTTTGACAAAGCATTGGTGTATAACCACCCAAGATAAGCAATTATGGAAGGATATTGGAGGGAAAAGTCAGCTAGCCTCCCACTGTTAGTATGATCAATCTTTCCCAGTCGTGCAGTCTCTAATGGGAGGCCTGTCTGAAAATACTTGCGCTTCTCATTTTTATACCCTTGTTCGGACTTGGGCTGTTCCTGCAACAGTTGGTTATGTTTGATTAAAAAAAAAGAGAACCGGCCAGGTGCAGTGGCTCACGCCTGTAATTCCAACACTTTGGGAGGCTGAGGCTGGCAGATCACTTGAGGCCAGGAATTTGAGACCAGCCTGGCTAACATGGTGAAACCCCGTCTCTACTAAAAATGCAAAAACAAACAAACAAGCAAACAAAAAATGAGCCTGGTGTGGTGGTGCATGCCTCTATTCCCAGCTATTTGGGAGACTGAGGCAATGAGAATCATCTGAGCCTGGGAGGTGGAGGTTACAGTGAGGTGAGATTGCGCCACTGCGCTCCAGCCTGGGTGACAAAGCAAGTCTCTGTCTCAAAAAAAAAAAAAAAGTAACTTTTTTCTTTCATAGCCACTCCACTGATATAGGGTTTGAATATTAAGAGATATGAGTTTTAAACATCTGCACAGAGCATTCCTCCAATTCCTGGAACAGTCCAGGAGCGCATACGTTCTGACAGAGCTATTAAAGCTATTGGAAGCCATACCAATACTAACGGTTTAATGGCCAGGAGAAACTCAGTCATTCCTTTAACATGGATCTATTGAGTGCCAGGCACTGTTCTAGATGCAGGACCTACAGCAAAGCCTGGAACAGACAAGGCCCTCTGTTTCTTTTCAGCTTACATTTCAGTGGGGGAAAGACAACGATAACACAAACCTAAAGAGGTACAGAATACCTTCTCCAGAAGTAAAGGGAAGGTATGTCGCCTCGAAGTCCTGGGCAGAATCCGATCCTTTTCACAGCTGTATCCATCTTGTTCAAATATACGTTATTGGCGACGTCCCCAAAAAGAGAGTTGTAGAAGAGAAACGCACTGGCAGAATGACAGACAGGATGACACTCGAGTCTAAAGACATTCTTAACAGCAATCTCCCATTGGTAGCATACTTGATTAGTTCATCAGAATTTTCATTCCCATTTGTGAGAAAGGAGAAACTGAGGATCAGAAAGATTATCTGGTTATTTGATTTCGGCAAAAATAATGCTTATTTAGCAATTCCTCAAGGAAGCCATCAGAGTCCTCATCCATACAACAGATGCGCAGTAAGTGATGAATTTTGCTGTGAACACCTGAGTTGGAATTAGTCATTGACTGGGCTCCGCTCCATGAGAAAATGAGGTGAAGGGGCCAGATACACACAGATAATATATTTTCTTATTTCTTTCATTGCTTGTCCATGTTCCCATGGAGGATGATGATGATGATGATGATGATGATGATGATGATTATTATTATTATTATTTTTACAGAGTCTCTCTCTCTGTCACCCAGGCTGGAGTGTAGTGGCATGACCTTGGCTCACTGCAAACTCCACCTCCCAGATTCAAGTGATTCTCCTGCCTCAGCCTCCCGAGTAGCTGGAATTACAGGCACCTACCACCACACCTAGCTAATTTTTGTATTTTAAGTAGAGACGGGGTTTCACCATATTGGCCACGCTGGTCTCGAACTCCTGACCTCAGGTGATCTGCCTGCCTTGGCCTCCCAAAGTGCTGAGATTATAGGCATGAGCCACCATGCCTGGCCTCGCATGGATATTTTTAACGTTTTATTTTGAAATAATTTCAGACTTAGAGAAATTTACAAAAATAGTATAGAGACTTCATGTATATCCATTATCTAGCTACCTACAATGTTATAAATATATGTAACTATGGTACAATGCTCAAACCCAGGGGAAAAACTTTGATACAAAACTGTTAACTAAGCTACAGACTTATTTGAATTACCCTAGTTTTCTCCCTGTGAAGTAAAGGATTAACTCAGCAGGCTTGGGGTGTTCAAACCCTGCATCTCCCAGAGAAAGGACTGGTCCTTGACTACCTTCTGGGAGAAAAACTCCTAAGCCCTTGAAATATCCTGCCTGATGAGAGTGTTTGTTTACTTGGGCCCTTGGGCCCTGTCAGATAGTCTGTATTAACAGTGTGACTTACGGTGGAGAGCCTTGGGTCTTGCTGTATCCGTTTGACCTCTTGAGGGGCTGCAGACGGAGTAGCTAAGGTCAGCCATGGAGGTGCTCCATGCCTCTATAACTGATCCCTAATAAAAAACCTGGGCCCCAGGCTTTGAATGAGCTTTCTTGGTTGGCAGTACTTTCTGTGTGTTGTCACACGTCACTACTGGGAGAATTAAGTGCGTCTGTACAGTTTCTCTGGGCGAAGACAACCAGAAACTAGTGTTTGTCTCTCCTGGAGTCTGCCCTCCGTGCCCTGTTCCATGCTAACTAATATATATGCTTTCACTGTAATAAACCGTAACCGTGAGTGTGACAGCTTTTTAAAGTTCTGTGAGTCCTTCTAGTGATTCACTGAACCTGAGGGTGGTCGTGGGGACCCTTGACATGCTACCTAATGCCTTTTTTTTTTTTTTTTCAGAGAGAGTCTCACTCTGTCGCCCACACTGGAGTGCAGTGGTACAATCTTGGCTCACGGCAACCTCTACCTCCCAGGTTCAAACGATTCTCCTGCCTCAGCCTCCTGAGTAGCTGGGATTACAGGCCTGCACCACCGTGTCCAGCTAATTTTTGTATTTTTAGTAGAGACGGGGTTTCGACATGTTGGCCAGGCTGGTCTCAAACTCCGGACCTCAGGTGATGCACCTACCTTGGCCTCCCAAAGTGTTGGGATTACAGGCGTGAGCAAGCATGCCCGGCCCTAATATCCTTTTTCTATTCCAGGATACAATCCAGGGTCCCTTATTGTTGGTCTCCTTTGTCTCCTCCAATCTGTGACAGTTCCTCAGTGTCTTTGTCTTTCGTGACCTTAACACTTTTGATGACTACTGGTCATTTTGTAGAATGATCCTCAATTTCAGTTTGTCTGTTTGCTTATGATTCATTGAGTTCATGTAATTTGGGGAAAATGCTTTATATCAGATAACTGGGAATTTTAAGGAGAATAAGCTCTTCAATACCCCTGTACACACACACACACACACACACTTTTTCCCTATCAGCTGGAATTCCCCGCCGCACTAAGCCTCTCTTGCAACATTGGCTCTCCACCTCTACTTTCACTATTCAGTTTGATTGTGAAATCTTGGGTGAAAGAGAGCCAGTGGCGGCCAGTGTTATAGAGAAGAACTCCGCTTTCCCTGTTAACAGAGGCCTTTGTGCATCTGGTGGTCACAGCACTCCTCACATTCCTTAACTGACTCTCACCCCAGGTAGCTGGAGATCGCTGAGGCAGGGATGTGGCAGACATTGACTCTTTTGTCTGCTGAGGGTAATAGTCAACCTTCTTCTGGGAAATGCTCCTTCTTCCACCACAACCACATGGCTCGAAAGAGAGCTACCATGATCTAACAGACTTTGCCCGCATGGCCACCACTGATTGCTCAGAGCTGGGCACCTGAGCCTATTGGGGCCAATCAGAGCTCTTCCCTGGGATTTCTGGGCTTGGGAGGAAGCAGCACATTCTTCCTCTTGGAGGGTCCTTGCTTGTGGAAGAGCCAGGCTAGAGCAGGAGGGGTTGAATTGAATTCTGACAGAGGCGGAGACGAGCACTGGAGAGGGAGCCTGGCTTTGTCCCAGGTGCATTGGGAGGCCCAGGTATACCCTGCACACTTCCTCGATGATGGGAGCCTCACTAATACATAGACCACATTCCATCCCGTCTGCATACACGACACGTGGAAAAGGCTGGACATTCCCTATATCTCATGATCAGCCAGTGAATGAAATGAAAAGGGCCGGGTGATACTTCATCAACGTCAGCGTTTTTCTCAGGGTCGTCTCTGCCTTTATGTTTCCATATATGGGATGTGGTAAATCAGAACCAAACATGTCGAACAGCATTCATTTTAACAGGCGTCTTCAAGAGACCGTCTACGTGATTAGCAAATACCATCTGCCCGCCTAATGAAATCAGAATAGCCAGTGTTTTCCATCCTCAACTCAGGGATTAAAGAGGAAAAGCCAGTGTAAGCAGGTCACCTGGGTTAGCACAGCTGTGGAGAGGTGCATTGAACAGATTGTACAGCTCAGTCTTGCCCCAGTCAAGAGGAGTCAGTTAGGACACAACCCCAGATGCCAAAGGAAAAGAAAGGAAAGAAAGAAAGCAAGAGAGAAAGAAGGACAGAAAGACAGAGACAGACACAAAGAGAGAAAGAGAGAAAAAGAGAGAAAGAGAAAGAGAGAGAAAGAAAAAGACAGAAAGAGAGAAAGAAAGAAAAGAAAGAAAGTCTAGATTTTACTTCCCTAACAGCCCATTTTGTAATAGATAAATAATTCAAGAAAAAACAAATTGGTTAGAAAATGATAATGTTTGTCCACTCTATGGCTATGGCTATGCAAGGGGCAGAAATAGGAAACCTGTGTATGTTTTGCCAAAAGAGAATCTGTTTGCTCATTTAAACTTTTTCCTTCTGATTATAAAACATACACATTTTTTTATGAATAACTTTCACAATAAGGGAAAATATAAAGTGTGTGGGGCAGGTGTCACTGAGTGGAAGGAGAGGGCGTGGTCATTCTCTGCTCACGCCCACCCTGGTGAGGGCTGTGTCTGGGTGACAGGCAGGGTTGGGGGTGCTTCTAGAACCCGCTGAGGGGGCTCTTGGGAAGGGGATGCACCGGGGAAGAGAGCTTGGATCTCAATAATCTATCAGCTTTTGGAACAGCAATGTTAGTTTCCTTAGGCTGTGTTAGTTTCCTAAAACTGTCCTTAAAATAGTACCCCAAACTGGGTGGCTTAACATGACAAAAATTTGTTCTTTCACAGTTCTGGAGGACAGAAGTCCAAAATCAAGAAGCTGGCAGGGCTGTGTTCTCTGAAGCATCCAGAAAAGATTTCTCCTGGTTTCCTCCTAGCTTCTAGTGGTTGCCAGCAAGCATTAGCATTCCTTGGCGTGCAGCTGCATCTCTCGAATCTTCTGTTTCTCAAAATCTCTCGAATCTCTGCTTCTGTTTCCATGTGGTGTTCTTCCCTGTGTGACTCTCTCTGGGTATCTTGGATAGTCATATTGGATTAAGGGTTCATCCTACACAACTATGACCCTGACCTGACTTAACTAGTTACAGCTGAGTGCGGTGACTCACACCTGTAATCCCAGCACTTTGGCAGGCCAAGGAGGGCAGATCACTTGAGGTCGGGAGTTTGAGACCAGCCTGGGGTCTCAAAGTCCCGACTCCTGAGGTCTTTGCAGGAACTGGCACTCAAGGGAAATGCTGAAGAAAAGAGAAAGGTGGCCGGGGGTGGTGGGTCATGCCTGCAATCCCAGCAGTATGGGAAGCTGAGGCGGGCAGGTCATTTGAGGTCAGGAGTTTGAGACATGCCTGACCAACATGGTGAAACCCCATCACTACTAAAAATACAAAAATTAGCCAGGCGTGGTGGCGTGTGCCTGTAATCCCAGCTACTTAGGAAGCTGAAGCAGGAGAATCACTTGAACCCAAGAGGTGGAGTTTTCAGTGAGCCAAGATGGTGCCACTGCACTCCAGCCTGGCCGACAGAGCAAGACTCTGTCTCAATAATAATAATGATAATTTAACTCATTATATACACCATGATCTTCTTTTCAAATAAGTTCACAGTCTGAAGCTCCAGGAAAGACATGAATTCTTGGGACACAATTTCAGTCCAGTGCAGCCTCTCTTACCCACACAAACCTCCCTGGCACTGTGGAGCGGAGGGCAGCATGGCCCCATCATGGAGAAGGGCTCCTCCAGGTGGTGGGGGGTGCTCTGCTGAGACCCTACCAGGCTCTGGGGAAAGCAAGGCAGATCCACAGTGGCAGTGGCCTCTGCCGGGAGATTTGGGGCACTGCTGTTCTAGAATACCACAGGACGCTCTGGCCTTGGCTCCAGAGGCAACAGGTCTCAGGGGCCCACCCTGTGAGCCCCCAGAAGCAGTCTAGGTCCTAGGGAGTGGTTCCAGGGGGCCACTAGAGGCAGTGGCTTTGGTGGGGCTGTGTTCCCGATCTTTTAGAAGCCCTCACAGCACTCTGCACTCCCTTCATAATACCGATAACAATTCCAAGGAGTAAATAACCATGAGGTTAGTTCTTTAGTGTCTGTCTCAGCAATAGGGTGACCAGCTGTCTGCTAAGTGGAGCCACCAACTTGTCTAGTTTGTGCTAGGCCAGATTTGTTTCAGCACTGAAAGTACTGCATCCTAGAAACCCCCTCAATTCCAAGTAAACCAGGACAGCTGGTCACCCTCCTTAGCAGACAGATGGGAATCTCACGCGCAGAGCCACGGTGTCTGTCTAATCCACTCTATCTCCTGTGTTCCTGTTCGTCAACGTTACCTTGCACCGATCACGCATCCAATAAATATTTGCTGAAGAACAATCATAATAATGATTATCCAAAATGCTCAGTAAATATTTGCCGAACGAATGCCCCCTGCCAGTAAATAAATAATTGTTTTCAGCATTTTAATATATTACCAAGAAATGAGACCAACTGGATTTACAGACTCGTCCAAGAAGCAAAGAGATTTTTGTCCAAGTAGAAAATGCCAAGTAGGGTAAGTTTAGCAGTGTTCAATCCTCTAACAAAAGATCAGCAAATGGCCTAGAGGGATTGCGTCTGATTTCCTGAATCCGTCTTTAAGTGGAGATTATGGATTTCCAGATCCTCTCAGACAGGAGGGAGCAAAGCAGGAGGGACAACTGCCAGACAGCTGTAGCAGTGGGAACCAGAGCTTGCATTGCACATCCCAACACAGCAGTTTCACAGACGTTCCCTTGGGTGGGATACATTAGACTGTAGACGTGGAGGGATGATGTGCTTCTCTGTTTTTCTGAAAATGAGTTTCACTCTGTTGCCCAGGCTGGAGTGCAGTGGCGCAATCTCTGCTCACTACAACCTCCACCTCCCAGGTTCAAGCTAGTCTCTTGCTTCAGCCTCCCAAGTAGCTGGAATTACAGGTATGCGCCACCATGCCCGGCTAACTTTGGTACTTTTAGTAGAATTGGGGGTTTCACCACATTGGCCAGGTTGGTCTCAAACTCCTGGCCTCCAGTGATCTGCCTGCCTCAGCCTCCCAAAGTGTTGGGATTACAGGCATGAGCCGCTGTGCCCAGCCTGATGGGCTTTGATTTGCCTTGCCTTTCCTCTTTCTTTCTTTTCTTTCTTTCTTCTTTCTTTCTTTTCTTTTCCTTCCTTCCTTCCTTCCTTTCTTTCTTTCTTTCTCTTTCTTTCTTTCTTTTTCTTTCTTTCTTTCTTTCTTTTCTTTCTTTCTTTTTTCTTTCTTTTCTTTCCTTCTTTTCTTTTCTTTCTTTCTTTGTTTCTTTCTTTCTCTCTCTTTCTTTCTTTCTTTCCTTCTTTCTTTCTTTCTTTCTTTCTTTCTTTCTTTCTTTCTTTCTTTCTTTCTTTCTTTCTTTCTTTCTTTCTTTCTTCTCTCTTTCTTTCTTTCTTTCTTTCTTCTCTCTTTCTCTCTCTCCCTCCCTCCCTCCCTCCTTCCCTCCCTTCCTTCCTTCCTTCCTTCCCTTTTCTCTCTGTCTCTCTCTCTCTTTTGAGACAGAGTTTTGCTCTTGTTGCCCAGACTGGAGTGCACTGACATGATCTCTGCTAACTGCAACTTCCACCTCCCAGGTTCAAGGGATTCTCCTGTCTCAGCCTCCTGAGTAGCTGGGATTATAGGCACCTGCCACTACGCCCAGCTAATTTTTGGTATTTTTAGTAGGGATGGGGTTTCACCATGTTGGTCAGACTGGTCTTGAACTCCTAACCTCGGGTGATCTGCTCACCTCAGCCTCCCAAAGTGCTGGCGTTACAGACGTGAGTCACCATGCCTGGCCTGATGTGCTTTTCTTAAGGACGCACACAAAGTAGGGATTTGCAACCAGGCCATCTGTGTGCTTTTTTACTGCACTGTTCTCCCATTTCACTTTACCACAGCCACAGCAACGAAGCCCAGTGGTCAGTAATTTCCTGAGCTTGAGTCCAAGCTCCAAGTCATCTAGATGAATCTGTAACTAAGCAGTGGCCACTTAGATAGTTGAGATGTGAGGAAAGAGCCAGCCCGGCAGGTCTTGCATGTCTCCAGGGAAGCCTAGAACAATGACCCTTGGCCAGCCCTGGGGATTGCAGTCCCCAGGAAGGTTCTAATGTCTGTGATTAATGATTTTGTTCTATACCCCTGGAGGAACTGGTCACATGCAACCAGCTTGTCAGGGTAGTTTGCACAAACATCAAGATTGATGATGTGTATGTGGCTTCACTGCTGGGGTCCTGAGTTTCACTTGGCATAGCTGATAGCTAAGCAGAATGTGTCTATGTGATCAACCACCCGAAAAACCTTGGACCCCGAGACTGGCATGGGTTTCCCCGGGTCTTCCACACATGTCCTTGGAGTTCTC